TATATATATATATAAATTTACATACATACACACCCAGTACTTATATCGTGCACACCTGCTTACAGCATATTGCATCCATAGAACCCTATGGCCATAACTACACCCAGCCATCCATAGGAATGAGCCCCGTCCATGTGCAGGCGTTGTGGTATGAATGAAGCCAGAACTCTATCAGACACCTGACCTCGTTCATGAATCATTCTCCCTAATTAATGAATGATTGATCCCGACGCCACGTGTCCTTCTACGATCACACATCGCGATATGTATAGTCATCACATCTATGGTCACACACAGATAGAACCCAAACCTCACCGTCCCCGATTGGAACTTGCCCTTGACTCGCACACAGCGGCGGGTGACAGTTTTGGAAAGAGTGGCCCCTGTCTGTCTCTCTGTCGGAAGTGATATGCAGTGTCCCCGGCTCCTCCCCCTCCCTAGAACGGCCGCTGGCTGGATGTCTATGGGAAGACAGGAGAGATGGCGCTCCATACAGCTAGTCGCAGTACGATCCTTATGGTGCTCATCTCCATCGGGCTGACCGTGGCTCTGGGTTTCGGACTCCCCGAGATCCTGAAGCTGATCTTTCGGCTTTTGGGGTTTCCTATTGATAATGCCTCACATGCCATTGTCTTGGTGTACTTTGTATTTGTGATGTTTGTGGCCATGCCATCCATACCCAGGGGCACACTACCAGTGAGTACAACCATCACCACTACTGATTTACTGTTCATTGCAGCTTTCTGTATGTCTTGTCATGTGTAGATCATCATTGATTATTGTTATTATACAGGATGTATATAGTGCCAACAATTTGTTACAATTCAGGACAGGGAGTGCCCTGGCCAGCAGAGCTTACACTCTGAATGCTATGCCATCAGTTAGTTCTGGTGAGGCTGCAGATGACATTTACCCAGATAGCAAGAAATTGTGCTGCAAGTTCGAAAATGACTTGCTAAACTATTGCAGACTTGCCAAGCTTCACAATTTTGTTGCACAATTACATCAAGTCTCCAGACCAGCGAGCTTGCAGAGCTAAGACCTGCAGGACTCTTGCTGTAGAATTTCCAAGCAAATTTGCTACAAATTCAAAAAGTGTGAACTAGAACTTGTGCTGCAAGAGTTCTGCAAGTCTACAACTTGCTAGGAATGTGTGCAGCAAGTTACCAAAATTACAATTTCACCCTGCCACAAGTTTGTAGCAAGTTATCCTTGCTATCTGGGTAGTAGACTGCACGTTACAATGGTTAGGGTTGTGCTATCATTAATGTAAGTAGTTGCATTTTAATGTAGTCATGTTACTTCTCATTGGTGAACCTGGGGGTGTCAGTGAAAACAGGAGCGATCCCAGAAAGGTGCCGTGATCAGTTAACTCTAGATCTGAGCTCTGGATACAAGCATGTGACAATGCTCAGGATCTGACACAAGCTCTGGAATTTGAAGTCCAGCTACAGCCGTTAATACACATAATGCATCAGCATAGCTGTATCTTCCAGAAGTTGGCTGCACAAAAAGTACCCGCTGATGTTGCCATAAATGCATGGTCACATTCCCCACCCCCTTTAGCCTTTAACAGGGGGCTCGTCTACCCGCAGACTCCTGTATACGCTTGAATTCGCCATGGCTCTGCCCACACAGCCACATCATTAATTCATAGATTCATTCACAAGCTCTGTGAATGGAAAGACTGCATGGCACAGCTGCCACCATGGCTGTGGGGCTTGTAGATCTTGATGTGACATCCCCGCACTTGGTTTCCTTCCACTGATTACTACTTACAACTGCATAACAGAAGGTTCATACAAAGACAGCATGAATTACTTCCATGAAACACAGGGCTCACAGATAATAAAAGTGTGCACAGGATCTTCAATTCTTTGTCTCTAAGGGGTCTAGTTATAAACAATTTGCCCTTCACCCTGCTAATGTGTAAATGTTTCTTTTTGGGCGAATAATGCCTAAAAAATAATGTTCTCAATATAATTTTGTTTCCGTGTATTGTCATGTAATGTTACATTTTGGCCTCTAGAAGGAGCTGAGGAGTAAAGATGTGTTTATTTTCTATGCTCCTCAACTCCATCTAGCGGGCATAATGTAGTATTACATGACAATACATTCAAACGTGAACTATAAATAGACATTTTAATTTTTTGACTTGCAGGATCAACTCCATGTTTGGAGGAATGTTCAGATATCATTATCTGTATCGGTGCCAATACTTGGCATTTTCACGAGAACTACCAGGGTACTACTGGGCCCTGGCGCTCCACCACTGTCCTGAAATCATTAGTCTGTATTGTTTTAGAAAAACTATGTAGAAAGAAAGATATCTATAATTGGTATCTGTGAGTACTTGGACAAGTACTTGTACCTGGTGTAGAAAAAATGGTATCGGTGCCCCTAAAAACAAATCATGCAGTAAAACAGATTTGCACAAATCCTTGGAGCCCCATAGCCAATGCTCCTTAAAAATGACAGCTGCCGCCTAACTCTTGAGATTTTCTCTAGTCTAGTCTTGGAGCTGGAAAAGTATTTGTACCTGTACCAAGTACAGTACTTGGTATCTAAACATCCCTATTTGTTATCTATGGCTTGTGCTGCAGCAAAAGGCCTAGTCCCTGCCCTTCACGCTCTACTTCTTCTACAGTTTAAGTGTTTAAGAAAGGGTGTTTTTTTGTTTTGGTTTTCTTTAATAT